CTAACGGAGCTACACGTGTTCTGCTGAGCGTAAAATTTGCTATGTTACGCACTTGTAAGACAGAGACAACACATGCAGGTATTACGTCCTCTTAAAATTAAAATATAAATTGTTTAATGTTTAGACTCAATACCATTGTAACTGAAATGAGTATTATGGGCCCTATACACAGGTTTATACGAGTCGCAGGGTGTGCCCTGGCACACCAGGCACACCCTGTAGATTCGCCTATGGGACAAAGACAAATCATTTCTTAATGAGACCATTTACGATTTCTAGCATTTGATGAACGGTTAAGGGACAAAGTCCTAACAAATAGCACTTGAGGTATTCCTAATGTCCATTTCGAGAAGGAAGACAGTGAATTCGTAACTTGGTGTCTCTTCAGCTGGAACCCAGATCAAACATTTAGTGGCCATATTTAAGAATACACAATTACAAAAATGTTCTCGAAAATTAAATTCAATTTGGAAATTTCTAGGTTTAGAAAAATCAAAGACAATTAACATTCATATCCCGAGCTATATTCATTTATATATGTCCGCTATCCAATAATTATTCCCGGTGGTTGGTCCCGAGAACTATACTACTGGGAAACCTATTGGGTTATTCAAGGATTATTATTATGTGAAATGAACAATACGGCTAAAGTAAAGATAAGCAATTATTTATCAATGATTAAAACCAATGGACATATTCCAAATGGTGGTAGAAATTATTACGCCGAGTGGTTTGAGTTCGCATTGATGGTGCCTATGACGGAGATCAAGCTTTACGTAAGAACTATGTTACTAATAGATTTATTGGAAGGGTAATTCAACTATTGTCTAGTGGACTGAAAATCAAGAAGTTATCATAGAAAATAACAAAATTAATTACACTCTGGTAAGATACAGTGATTTATTAACAGGGCCCAGGCCAGAATCATACCAGTAAATTCAGTTTTATATTGCATAGAACTTTACCCAAATTTAATTTATTTTCTTAGAAATATTAATCTAGGTTATAGATTATTTCCATCTGAACACTAGGCAGGAGAAATTAATATTTCCAGATTATATCCGATCCGGATTCCGCAGCCACCTTTACCTCAGAGTAAAATTCTGAATTTAACTGTAGGATTCTGGTCTCGGTCCTGTTGATGATATTGTATTGCATATTGCCACAGTGTAATTAATTCTGTTTTTTTCTATGACAAATGCATGATCTTCAGTCGAATAGTTGAACTCTGTTTCCAATAAATCTGTTTTCTATGAGATATTTCTTGTCGTCAGTTGCCTCAACATAGCTCTTTATCGTAGGCAGAATCAAAGAAGGCTGAGACAGCTCTGCGTAATAAATCGTCCCACCGTTCGGAATATGTGCTAACCATCGATAAATAATTGCTTATCATTCCCTTAGGCGTATTATTAATTTCACATAATAACAGAAAATAACACGAATAACCCAATAAGCATCCCAATAATATACTTCACGGAACCGACCGCCGATAATACTAGTAATTATTGGATAGACATATATCAATGAATATAGCTCGAGATGTGAATGTTCATCGTCTTTGATTTTTCTCCCTAGGAATTTCTATATTGAGTTTGATTTTCGAGCCCACTTCTTGTAATTGTGGATCCTTAGAGTGGCCTCAATTACGGACGTGGGTTCCAGTCAGAGAAATACCAAGTTTCGAATTCGCTATTTTCTTTCTCGAAATGGACATTGAGGAATACCTTCAGTTCTTTATTTTTAGGACTTTGTCTCGATTTGTTCATGATATCATCAGGTAATAATTTGTCTTTGTTGCCTGTGTTGTCCAGTGACATGACCATTATATATTGGAGGGAGCCAAGCATTTGGCTGGTCCTACAGTTGATCGGTGTCAAACTCTAAAGTTAGGTAGATTTCCCCCTTATTGTTCAAATATTTTAGAATTATATAACTATTTCAGAACCCTGAATACGAAATAAATGGATTTAATTTGGTTAAACAAGCGGTCCAATGTGATAATGTGTGTGTTGGTGGGATAAAGTAAACTCGCTTCATAGTGTTTAGTGTGATCAAATCACTTATGCTGGCTATATTATATATCACAGTATCACCTACATAAACTAAAAAATACTAAAATGGAGGATAATGATATTTTCGATAAAACTGTGGGAATGATTTTAAAGTCTAAATTCAAAAAAAACATTCAAACATAACCGATAATAACAAAAAGAATAAGCATGATACATGTACATATTATATACAATTATGGCAAGACCACATGAAGTACACCCTTGCTCCGTCTATTAGTATAAGATCTATGGTTGAAGCGCAGATATAGATGATAAACTAAATTGTTAACTAGTGATATGATGTAAAGTTATTATCCACCATTTTGAGTAGGTCAAATGCATGCGAAATGTTATCAAAATTTAAATTCTTGTTTAAAATATTTGAAATGTGCATTCATTTTTATTGTCGCACTTAATTATGGTTGTATTTCGTCATTCATAAGTTCGTTAAACTAAATATTTGTATAATTTAGGACAATTTAAATGTAATATTTAAAACTGTAAACTATAGGTATTAAGAAATTTTTTGTTGAAATCAATCTGATTATAGGTATTTATTCATAGCTGATTTCTTAATTTCTTTATCTTTATTAATAGTTTATGTTTGTGTTTAATGATGTGATATGGACTGTAACCGGATACTCATATTGTCAATATCTAGGTATTAGGCCAGCGTATTATTATTATTTTGCATATTATAATTATTATTAGTAAATAATTATTTTGTGAGCCCATATTATACTTGAAATAATTTATTATTTTGTTTATTATTTTTGGTTGCCATAATATAGAAACAAAATGAAGGTAAGCCCAGCGCATGCGTATGAACATAATAAGTACGTATTACGTATGTAAAACGTCCTTGGAAAACAAACTAAAACAATTTTTAGTCGTTTTAGTGATTTTATTATAATCAACTATCAAGTAAGTAACAACAGAAGACATTTTAAACTTCAAAATTTTGAAAAATTATAATGTATAAGTTATTTAAGTTTCGAAAATTCATAATTTTATTCCCATTGATCGCTATAGAAAATATATATACAGGTATTTTATTGTTGTAAAATATCACACTTTCCAGGTGGTTCTTAGCATTTTAAGATATTTAGTATAATTCGTATTATTAGAAAGCAAACTACTATAATAATACATATAGTACATAATTTATAACACACACCTCATCGAGCCTTAAGGTTGACTACAATCTGTCGTTGGGCGCAATTTAAGGTATCCCGTTGTGGAACTCAATGTAACATCAAGGGAGTGGTCGCCTACGAGCAACGTCTATAACACTACTATATCACAAATTGTATAAAACCAGAAGGTGCACTTCTGAATTTACTGATAACTGAAACGTACCTCAATACTGTAGGATCACATAATATGAGAAATACATTATTGTACAACATATTTACTATAATATTATTGTACCAAATAAAATGACAATAGTATGGAATTTGGAGAGAGTGATAAATATCAGTGATGTGTAGTTAATAATCAATACATTTCTCATAAATACTTCGTTTCCCTATTCTTGGTCACACGATTTGAGGTGGATTTTGTTTTTTTTACGTTTTACATATCTATATCTATACGACTATATGAGATACATTATAGTATATTAAGAACTAACTACTAAGTATACCTACTATATAATATATTATGCACAATATAAAGACGATAATAATATAGTACCTAACCCAGAATGATAGTAAAACGCAATACTTAGTTGCATTCGTATCAACGAATATCATGATAGTGTATTCATATAGGTGGAAAATTCAACCATTGCTCAGTAAACCATAGGTTTTTAGTAATGATTGTAATTGTACCTATTGGATCAAAATTCAAATTCAAATAAAAAATATTATATTGTCATATCAGGATAGGAGCCATACATAACATTGAGAAAGAAACAATGGGTCAGCCACCAAACCTATCTCAAGACGAACCAGCTTACCAAACCCTTTGAATGTGTGATGGGAACTTCAGTCTCACCTGAAATAATTTATTCAGACAGTAATGATCATTTTTTCTGTGGCAAAAACTATTTTAAAACATCAATTGTTTATCCATAGATCAATGATGACAAGCCTCGTCAACCCTCCCTCTTAAATACAAGTTAAGTAGCACGCTCCAATACTAGACTGCATTTTAAAAATTCAAATGTTTTACAGTACACATACTTTCTTCGTTTTATTTTTTGGTAAAAGTACCTATGTACCAACATACTAATATGAAATTTGTCATAACTTTCATTATTGGTCCATAACCCAAGTATTGTGGCTGTAAACTAAAATTCATAGGAAGATTATACTACGAGAGTAGAGGTTAGTGGTTAATTGATTATGAGTTTTTAGAACAACTCGATCTGGAGCTCAAAGCAATTACGAGTTGATTTGAGTACACTATATATTATTTATAATAATGCTATATCGTATAATTTTGTATATATATTATACATAGATTTCAATAAAATTGTATGGTTTATGGATGAGGTCGACCTCCTAACCATCCGGTTGTGACGTCACGATCTCGAACTTGTGTGGAGTTATGCCGAGCTCTAGCTTCAGCCGTCGTGGTTTTGCTAGACCTTCTGACAGCGCAACACTTAGGTTTTGGTGGAGGTGGTGGACAGCACGGTACCGGCTCCTGCGAACAGTATGCTTTCGGCCCTAGTGGGCAGATCAGTTCTGGTTTCCGTGGGCAGCATGGATCCGGCTTCTGGAAAGGTTCCTGCTGTGGTGGGCAACATGGTTCCGGCTCCCGTGGACAACATGGTTCCGGCTCCCTTGGGCAACATGGTTCCGGCTCCCGTGGGCAACATGGTTCTGGCTCCCGTGGGCAACTTGGTTCCGGCTCCCGTAGACAACACTGGTCCGGCTCTTGGGGTGGTTTAGGCTTCCGACAAGGTTCTGGCGTCCGACATTGTTCTGGCTCCTGACGTAGTTCCTGCTTCCGGCAAGATTTCGGCTTCCTGCAAGGTTCCGGCTCCCGGCACGGCTCCGGCTCCCGGCACGGCTCCGGCTCCTGGCACTCACTATCCGGACACGACTGCTGTAATTCCGGTTCGATCTCGACGGTCACACCGAATAGTTTGAACCGGAAGTTTTGAATCTCCCGCATGATGTTCCGTTCTAGTTGAGGATCGATGGGACAGGATTGGTCACAGACAGGCGCGTTGGCCCAGTATTTGCACAGCTCGATCATGATGTGGTCTAGTAGTTCGGCACTGACTTCGCATTGGGCCATGTTCAGCGCCGCGAACGACCCACGCATCTTCCGCCGCATCTGCACCCAGTCGGGGTTGTCGTCAGGGTCTGCGAGTGCTATTTCAGCCGCCTCAGCTTCCGCCCGAGCCCTCTCGTCATTGGATGGCAGATCCTTCTCACAGAACTGTTCTACATTCTTGTGTGGCAGATCAAACCGATCGCTGGCCTTGTTCGGACATCCATGGTATTCCGTTACCTGTTAATATATATTAGATGTACCAAATAACTAATATTATTATAATATGATGATGATGACCGAGACAATATAAGATTTGAATATTTTTTCAATAACGATTCAAGACATTTAGCAGTGTAATCTTATATACTGAATTGTGTTCGTGTTTTATGTTCACTTACACACTCTTCTCCCAATTTGTATGATTTCACACGACTTTTGGCTTTGCACCAGTTGCATGGATAATTTAAGGAGTTTGGATGAATTAATAATGAACCGATTTTCTACGAGCATTCCTTCGGGGGTGTATTTAAGATTTAAGGGCAACAAAAGTTTTTCCCCCCTTTCCTCGGCACACAAAAAACAAAATACCAACATTGTAATTCATAATAATTATCTATTTAATTAAATATTTTTTTTTATTTTGTAATAACACAATAAATTTATTTAACGACGAAAACAAGAACATCTTATCAAATAATATAATTATTGATTGGCAACTATCATTTTAATGGACCTGCATATTAATAAAGTAGCTGTGACCAGTGTCAAAAAATTGAATCGTTTGTAAAAAATGTTCTCCCACAGCCCTTACCATAGAAATATAGGGGAAAACCCAACATCAAATCTACCCGCCATTATAATAATTAAACAATGAAGTAGCCAATAATGCTAATTAATAACGATAAATAACAATATTAACAACAGTAACAACAAAAATTATAACAGTGACAGATATAAGATTTGGTATGAAATTGAGTCCATATGGACTCAACACTAGAATAAACTGGGTGCGGGAAATTCCTAAAGATATATATTTTTTTACTTGTTAGAAATTCTTCATTATTCTCAGTAATTTATTACTTTCCAAAGATATAAAATCTAGGAAATCAACCTGCAGGGACCCCTAGAACAATAATAGTCTTGAACCCCTGGTTCATTTCACCCACCCTCCTCCCCACACAACACCGCTAATTCAAGGGCTGATACCGAACTGTACCTCGGGAGCACATCCGTCGTGCACGTCCATCAGGTCGGCGTTTGGGTTGCACTTGCCGGTATCACACAACACGTTCCGGTTCAGCTGATCCAGCTGCCTCTCGTGCTGTTCCCGGTGCCTGAGCACTTCAGACCACACGGCCAACCTGACCTCCTCGTCTCCGGCCAGCCACTCGTCCCGGGCACACCAGTAATCGGCCCAGTGGTTGCACTGGTAGTACAGCGCAGACCACTCGTTGACCACCGTCGGGAACCACGGTTCGTCGTAATGCTGGCCCAGTGCCCGGAACAAGCCTGCCGCCGCACACTTGGTCGACTGCCATTCGACCGAGTCCTCGAAGCACGATCCCGGACAGGTTGCCGGCTCCGGTTCGTCAACTTCTTGCGCACATGCGCTACGCCTACGGGGCCTGAGCGCTTCGCACCGTTTCTCGCGCATCGACTGACCGTCCCCCGGACACGGCAGGTGTTTCCTCTTCTTCAGTGGCATCAGAAACGTGTCGTCGCCGTCCGGAGCGCAACAGGTCATGATGATGGCGTTGGGATCGGTCGATGTCGATGACTATACGACGACGACGGTGATGTTGATGCGGACGATGACGATGGTGGTGATGGCTAGTCTCGGTCGACGGATCAACGCTTTATCGTTTCGATGTTGTCGTCGACGGTGCTGCCGTCGATTATGTCGTTTTTGTAATGTTATTATAGATATGTTTGTTTACGTGTCAGTCTTGAGTTGTATTCTCCACACTCGCTCGTCGTCGATTTACTTCGACGAGCTTGGATTTTTTGATCCGTTTAGGTATATTTTATGAATATAATATTATTTTAAAACAGCGCAAGTTGTATAGTGTTAACGTTAACCGAAATTCGGTTTAGTTTAGTTGTTTTTTGTTTGTCCAATAACCACACGACGACTACCAAGTAAATAATACCTACATCGTCGTGGCTACAATTAAAAGTGTATTATTGTACAGGGCGTTCCACAAAGAATGAAAGGATCTTGATTATTATTTGTAATGAATATAATTTTGGTGAGAGATATTATATTCCAAACCACTCTCAAAACAGTGGCGCAGAGCCCTATGTTTAGGAAAACCACGGCCTGGCCACATTTTTAAAAGGTGATCAGAGAGGAGGCCGAAGGTTATGTTCATGACTTTCTGTCTTTACAATATTCTAACCAACATAATACATTGTGTTTGATTATTTAATGAAAATAAGCGATATATTAATACGTGGGAAGTACAGTCTTTAGATAATAAGAAACTAATTTTTAAAAAAAATGTTCAATGCAAAAATGAAATTCGGATTTGGGGCAACTGATTGGCTTGAGGCCTATGTATTTTCATTTAGCCTGATGACATTTTTAGAAGTTCGGCTCCAAAATAAAGTTTCCCGGCTCACCGGTTGGCACGAATACTAGGTACTCACAAAATACACGGATATTTATGTACACTAAATTTCTGCGCTATGGCACGAACGCCCAAATTTGTATGTGATGTTCGAAATTCCAGAATGTCTAATTTTTCTTTTAAAGTTAATCGTTTTCTTTTGCTGGCCATAGCGCACTATAATAAACGTTCGTATATTGGTATCACAAACCACAACTAAACACACATAGAGAACACATTAGTTACAATATTTCGTCGACTCGATAATATTTGAATGACTGGGCGGATAGGATAAGATTTTCATGTCCACTTTAATAATGCACACATAAGGTAACTTAATGATTGAGGCTTCTATTCAGGTGTTCCAAAATCATTTTTAATTTAAGATAAACATTTTCAATATCAATGTCATAAAAGTGTGCTGTATTTAGAAGATTTCCTATACATAAATAGTGGAAATAGTGGAAATGTCCTCGTTCCCGGGAAAACGTCTGCTATTTAAAAAGGATACATGTCAATTGATCGAAGAACAATTGTTCGCCAAAATCAAATTGGTTGTTCAATAACGCGATAACTTGAATAAGTATTATAATCATAGACTTTTTTAATAGAACAACCCACTTCATGTTTCCACCGAGTCACATCGATAATAATTTTATATCGTACGTGGTGCACTTTGTACCTACTTAGATATAAAGATAATATTGGATTCAACCGCAATAGTAATTTGATATCGTACGTCGAGTGGTGCATGGCAAATCCGAAATTATTATCGTTTCAGTATTATAATAGTGTACCTACTTCAAATATTTTTGACACGTTTTGAGTTTTGCCATCATGAGTTTGGTGTATGTAACCAGTGAAAAAAATAAAAGATTGTTAGAATACGGAGGGTTTTTACATGGACAAGAAAAAATAACCTAACCAAGATAGGGCTAAGAGAATTTAAAAAATTTGCACTGATTATAATGATTTATTTGTTCTAGATTATCTACTTGGAATAGCCTATAATTTTCAACTGCAAATTTAGTTTTTAATTTTACGTATTTTTTAGTGATATTAATTGACTTCATTTTTTAAAATGCAATTTTATTAGCAATTTTCTTCGACATTTTTGTTTAATGTATTTAATTAATAATTTATAATTATTAATTTAGCGATTTTATTTGACATTTTTATTTAAATAATAAGATAATAATAATATAATCATAATATAATTTTTTGTTTTGCGAGCAATTATTTCTCTTCGATCAATTGTGGTTTACGAGTAATTGTATTTCGATCAAAAGTTGGAGAGCAATTGTCATGCGATCAATTGTTTTCGATAAATTTACGTGATACCATTTAGAGGTGTCCATTAAGGAAGGTTTCACTGTATAAATATTATTCAATAGCAGGAGTGCCCGATTTCTGCCAAAAGCTCAACTCAGTTCACCTATCAACAATAATATGTGCTTAAAATGTCATCAATTTTAATAATTCAGACACATCACACACCTACAGTTATGTAATTGATCTTACAAATACATAACGCAAGTAGGTAAGTATGGGTGGATTTAAGTACTGCAAAAAATCGTGTGAAGTCTGAAAAGTCTTTCAAATGTCGGTTTTCCAAGCTCGTGCGAACGTAATAATATAACATATTACGGTGGTGTGGGTCTCGTTATTATCGTTATACGGTTATTATTATATTTTTTTTTCATCTGCACCCTTTTCCTAGGTACCTTCCCACCACTTGCAGTTTTCCAGTATAGTGTACGTATATACCTTCAACTACACTCGTGAGTAACAATAAATAAAAAAGATACTACAAAATTATTTCGTACACAATATGTGCACAGCATAGCATACACGCGCACCGCGCGCGCACACACATATTCACTGAGAACTTGTAGTTGTAGACGTCAGCGGGGGGGCTCCTATACAACAGGTCGGACACGATCATATTTATTTTGTCCTCTGGAGTGTCGACAATTCTATGTGTTCGATCGCCGTGGGTTACTTTTTGAGTGGTTTATTTATTATACATTTATCATGGTTTACTATTATTATTATTGTTGTTGTGTTATTATATAATATATTATATCAAACGTATATATAGCGGCTATTATTTTTCAATTTGATCCAATCCAACTCCCTTTGTACATATATATGAAGAAAATATAAATACATACGAATTCGATGCACTCGCAATTGGCTGATAAGAAACGTGGGAAACGCTGTTTGAACGTCGCAATATTATTATCGTTACAGTCACCCACAGTAAATACACGTATACAAATAACATGTATATGACAGTATATCATACACCAGTGGGCAGTGGCGGTGTATAACTTATTTAAGTAACCTATGTATACGTGGTAAATATTCTAGCAAATGTGTGTCACTGTTTAAGCCTAGTATATATAACTAAAATGTTATGTCTATGTTAATGTTTATGTCCTAACCCGTGAATAAGGATTCAATAGGTACCTGTGTCGCAAGGTTTGTAGATAATAATTGTATTATCTTATATTATTAACTTATAAGTTTATCATCTATAAGCCTTACCTACGTCGCACGTGATATGAGATAATGGTATGTACCTATATTATTATGATGGGTACTGACAACTCTTCGTTTTCAAAGTGGAAAAAATCAAAAAAACCAAAGTGTCAACTAATATTTTCCAATAAATCTTTCACATCCAAAAACAGAATGAAGTTTTTTTTTCGGTCACGCTACCTGTCAGATTTCATCGGAACGTTCAGTTCTCTAGTATAATAATATAATAAACGAACTGTGTAAAATAAAAACTGTTCATATTACATTATAGGTAAGACAATATTATTATTGCGTACCTACAGTAGAACAAAAATGTTTTAGCATTTTAGAAAAATTGTATTTGATAACTGTTTAACTGTCACATTTCGTAATGTCCATAACAAAAATAATAAGCTTTTATTAATCAGTTTTAAGTGTTTAACAGTTAAACACATGTTAACAAAATACTACACATATATTAGTGATCTCAGAAGTTACAACATCCTATCAAACATATAGACACAGCAATAGGTCAAAACACAGAAACATGAACAATACCCATCATGATCAACTTCTGTTAAGAAACAATAGTTAGGAAAGCTCTCTCTTCTAGAGAGCCAAATTTCTGGTTTCTTAACGTATTTCAATACAACTTGGTACGCAAAAACTATATAAGTGTATACGATACAATTTAAAAATAGTTATCCATCCACAATCATATTTATTATCAATCATATAACTAAACTATGTACTGCTAACGGACGGACGGACGGACAGACACTGCAACATATAAGGTGTTCTGGTGTTCTAAACTTATGTTAAGAAATCTAAAACAGATCTGTAAAATCAAATATAACTTTTAAAAAAAATGTAATTTGTATCTATGTATATCCATCTCATAATAATTGTAAACCCGTAACTCTCGTGTAAACTTTTAAACTAATAACCTGTGTCGTTGATGTTTTTAATAAGAAATAAAAAATAAAAGCTTTCTAAGCAGGTGCAACTAATGAACTAAACCATACATTTCTAAGAAAAATAATAATATTATTCCAAACGGATATAACGTTTATTTACAGACTAGGTACATTAGATTTACCTATTATTTCTTAATTTTAGAGTTAAGAATAGGTATACCCGAAGTCCCGAAGTGTAAAACGAAGTAAACTATACTTTTGTAGAAAAATATAACATGGTACCTTCGAAAGTATTGTGTGAAACCCGTTCCCTAACATAACGCATATTATTTAATGAACAAAAAAATATGATAAGTACATTAAACAATATATTATAATATGACATTGTAATAATATTATTATATTGTGAACGGTCGCTAATTAAAATTAACGAATTGTTTATAATGTAAATGTACTTCGTACGACGTACATTATTATGTCGTTTATAATAGATAATATTACACTAGCGACGTGCGATCGCGAACAGCTCTTCATTATAATATTGTACATAATATTATAATAGTATATGAAATATAAACGCGGAGGCGCCAGGTGAGAAGGCGTTGTACACGATCGCAGGCTCGATAAAGCGGCCAATGAAGATTTTAAAAGAGAGACAATTAATGACATTAATTAATTGGTGTGAAGGTTTTAATATATTACGTGGTTTAGTTTGTGTGTGTGTGTGTGTGTGTGTGTGTGTGTCCATTGTATTTTAATTCAG